CTTTTCATTAAATATAATAAAATGTCATAAAGATTACATAATATAATAAAAGTATAACAAAACTGAAAAACCTTAAACTTAATAAAATGTATCAAAAACAAAACTGAAAAATCATTAAACTTCATGAATTAAACTTACAATATAATATAATATTATTATGACTTAGTTATTTATAAGGAACCTTGTTTTCAAAGAATGTAAACTTAGTCTACTTTAGAGCATTATAAAAATTTGCATAAAACTGCGGAATGTGGTTATTTTTTACTAATGTCAACAAATCAGTCTTTTTGTTTTCTTTAATTTTTAATGGCGCCCTGTATGCATGCTTTAAATCTGCTAGGGGTTGTATTATCGAGTTTCCTTTACATTTCCTGTTTAATTTAACTGTTTGGAATTCTTCCGAATACGAATTCTAAAAATAAAATGTATGAATAGAATCCTTTTCAATCTTCCACACTTTCACGGGATAAATCTTCACCTGGCTGAAATTAAGTTTGAGGTCATCTACCAGTGCCTTAATTGCCGAAAAATCTAAATGTGTCAACTCGTTAACATTATACGGTTTTCCTCTTTTCTTTGCCATTCGTATAAGTTGTGCATACTGAGATGGTACATAAATAGGACCGAACTTTAATGAATTTTTAACTTGTTTTTCAATGGTGGAATTTACACAGTCCCCTTCATTCTGTGTATGCCCAGTTATTAAATATTTATGCGTAATCGAGTTGATAATTGGAAACTTCATAATGGCATACAAATAAAGAGCAATCATATATTTGTTTTTTTGCTGACCACAGCAATTATCAGAATAAAAAACAAAATCCAACAAATCGGTGCAACCATTATCTTCTCTATCTTTGATTATATTTTGTAAATACATTAGAACACAACTAGCAATTTCTTCAACTCCACGATTTCCTTCCCCTTCGTGCCAAAAATAACATTCAGTTTGACCAGTATTTATCTCGGAGATAGTAAAATTGAAACTATTTAACTTGGATTTATAATAAAACACAGAAACGTCACCACGTGGAGCCGGTAAAACTGCCTGTAAGTCATAAACAGATACTATAAAATTTTTATTCGATTTCTTTTTGTCTTCGTCTTTTTCTTTTCTCGATAACTCTTTTTCACGTTGATGTATTTCGTACTTTTCTCTAAATTTTTCTTTATCTTCACCCACGGCGTTCTGGAACGAAGTGCATAATTCACATTGGTCCTTTTTGGGAGTGAAAAAACTTATATTATATTCTTCGTTGAATATTTTACTATACATTACAAGATTAACATGTGGACGACCAGCAGTAACACAATCATCTCGGTAGTCTCTCCACAAACTCGAAAGTGAATATCCTCTAGCGATATATTCTCGTGTTGTTTGTGCTCGAAGATAATGAGATTCGATTCTTGGTATGGAGTCAATGTGTTTGCGGACATCTGTTTTTAATTCGTCTGAAATTTTTCTATGTTTCATGTGTTTTCCACGTAATTCTGTTTGAAGTGAAGTAGGAATTCCTTTTTTACTGATGACAGTTCGAATTGGACGATCGTTTATATCAAGAGTAGCTTTAAAAAAATGTTTACAAACACGAAAACGAGTTTCGTTTATCTCAAAGTAATATGCGTTGTTTAGCTTACGATGATTTTCAGTTGATGAATATCTATATTTTGGTTTAATAGATAGCATACAGGTTGCTATGTAACTGCGCTGTTTACTCAAATCACCTAATGACCAATATTTTTCAAATATATTCTGCCTTTGAGTCTCATCAATTTTTGAATTACATTTTTGTTTACACTGATTACCTCAGGGAGGACGTAATTTTCTCTCAACATATTTTTTTTTACTTTTAGAAGCTGAAGTATAACTTAATCCTGTATTTCGGTTAATTTTTGCTTGTTTAATTGACCATTGATTCGAATTCACCTTCCTTTTTTTTTTCCTTTTTTCAAAATTTGAAGTTCTGCGTTGGAATTTATTTCTGTACTTTCATCGTTAGTATAATTTATTTCTGCATTTTCATAATTTTGTTCATTTATAACTTGATGACTATCAATATAACTGGACGAAGATGAGGAATCGCTGGATGAAGAACTGCTACTTGAAGAATCGCTAGTTGAAGAATATTACTGGTTGAAGGTCTATTCATCTTTTTCGGTGATAGAATTTTGCAATAGAACTCCGGGTCTACATCTGAATCATAAAAATCACTGCAGTCACTGTTTACTGGTGAAATTGCGTAGTTTACTGATAATTTTTTTCCGGTACTACACTCACCATCTTGCTCACGTAAGACTAATAACTTATCAGAAGGTTCTAAATAAAATAATATAAATTATTACCTGGTTAATATTGAGTTCACTTAAAACCTAATAAAAAATGTTTATTACTATTTATCTGTGTCGATATCTCATTGTCTTGCATTGATTTTTCCTCCCTTTGTTTTTCAACAAGTGTACTACAATGTAGAATATCATCTTGAGCACACTTTTTATCATGTAAGCCTAATGCATTATCATTAGAACCTAAATAAAATATAAATTATTACCCGATTAATATTAAGTTCACTTTAAACCTAATAAAAAACGTTTATTACTATTTATCTGTATCGATATCTCATTGTCTTGCATTGATTTTTCAGCCATTTGTATTTTAAGAAGATTCATTATGCTTTTTGCCCGACCGGACATTATAAGAATATTATTTTAATTTTTTAAAACTCGTAAATACTGAAACATAATTCGTGTCACAACTTAAAATTGTTTAATTACATTTATTAAAAACTGTCATAACTCGAAATACTACTGAAGAAGGACGTTAGCTAATTAATTATTAACGTCACAACTCGAAATACAATTTGATAAATCAAATAACATTTATAGTTACCTTAATAACTTTTTTATTTTTATTTTTTTTATTTAAATTAATATCGAATGATTACTGGGCCTCACTGAGAAAGCAAAACTCGTGTGGAGGCCCAGGGTTATCTTAGATTACAAATAATTCTTATTGTTTAAGATACAAATTACATTTTTAAAATACAAATAAAAGGTTTTTCATAGATAAATCACATAAATAATTCTAGAAATATTACAGGCGTTAATTAGAATGTTACATACAATTGTATATACAATTTTAAGTTTTACACCCATATTCATATCGTAGCCAGTGGTTAATTTTTTTTTGAAGATGGGTAACGGTAAATTAACCATATCAATTAACGACACAAGCCGAAATAATACTTTAAAAATAATATAATATTTTAAATTACCTTAATTAATAATGTCACAACTCGAAATAATCCTCTAATGGAAATTATTTTCATAAACAAAACTGGCACAAGAAAAAATAGTACTGTATTATTCGTAATTTATTATTTAATACAACGACATAACTCGAAATAATACACTTTTAACAAATAATAATACACGTTCACTTGAAGTTCTAAAATGCAAGTGAGATATGACACTTTTGATAATATTGTATCAGTAAAATGTTACATTATCAAAAGTGACATTTGCGTCATCTGTTGGAGAAAAATAGCAATAAACTTGTGACGTTTTTGTACGATACAAATATGATATTTACTAAGATAATGCTATGATAAGATGGAAAATCACATTTTTTCAGTTGTGTCACTTTTTAAGCGGGAGTGCGATGTGTATATATATATAATAATAATATTATATAAAAAAGAAACGTGCGTACCGTTGTTGACGTACGTCAGATTATGTTTTTTATATACAAAAAAATCGCAAAATCGTTGCTCTTCAGTCGTTGTAATGCCTTTAATCGCATACCTTTGGGGGGGGGGATATCGTGATATGTGTATGTGATGATAAACTCGGTACGTCGTTGAGACGAATACGATTAAAAAATGTAAACGAATACGTCGCAGTGGCGGCGCGTTAGGGTAGACAATGAGACATAGTCTACCCAAAAATCCCAAAAATATAAAACAATTTAATTAAAAAAATTAGTTATTTATTATATGATACTATACCTACTATATAAGTATTTTATTTGTTCATAATTTTATAAATAAAATGTTATTTACACTGATTCGTCTCTACAATGTCTGTGTGAGTAACGACTAACGAGTATGACTAAATAATAAATATATATAGTATAATTTTATTTATATCTTATCAATAATTATGTAATCGCTCCGTTGTCGCCGTCAAATCGGTCGAGACATATTGAATTGTGTCTCACTATTGATGACGAGGGCTTATGACATGGTAAACGGGGACGTAGTGGGGTATTACCAAAATTATATGCATGGACGAGACATGTCTCAACGTAATATTTTAGTAATTTAATTGCACATTTGCATTCTGATTGTGGTTAATGGCACACGTTTAATGTTTATCATTTTTTCTTAATGAAGTGATATACATTTAAAACTTAATATGTCAGATATTATTGATATTATTTTAAATAAAGGTCTTGGTTCTTTTTCGCAACAAAACAAAATCGGCGAATTGATTTAAATTATATTCAAATATAGTTATTTTATGTAATTTACTTTTTTTTATGATGATCCAATTTTTAAATAAATTTTATATAACACCATATTATCTTTGGTTGTCTTGTTGTCTACCCTACGAAATTGTTCACGCGCCGCCACTGATACGTCGGAAACGTTCTAAACGACAATAAATATGCGATTTACGGTTTCGAGACACGCTAATCGTAAAAATTGTACGGGTCAAACGACGTATAATGTAGTATTCGTCGCATTTCTAAAACGGTTTAAGTGTTCGAGATTCGGTTACGGTTTACAACTCGAACGGTAGTCAATATGTGTTAGGATAGGTCCCCCAACGTTAGTTATGGGGCGTTCCCACGAGGCGTTAATCACGACAGTGAACCACGCTAGTCAACTTTCGTTCGTGACACTCACGAAAGTGTGAATTGATGAAACGTTCACACGGTTTTGGGTTCGTGCCGTTCACGCCTCGTGTTTTGACTTTCACTCACTATCGAAACATCGAACATGAATGATCTGGTTGTTGAAAGTTGTGCTGTTTTAAGTTCGTTTTTTGCTACTATCTTAGCAAAAAATATGGAGCGCTTACAGGACACAATTACAAGAAAACGAAAAAAAAGACGTTTTTGGGTTAGAGAATGGATACAGCGAAGAAATATGTTAGGAGCGTCAAACTTGGTTAGTATGGAATTAAAAAGCAATTTTCCAGAAGATTTAGAAACCTACTGCGAATGACTGAATTTCAGTTTGAATACCTCTTAAAACGTGTTACAAATATTATTTCAAAATCTGACACTAACATGAGACAAGCAATTAGTGCAAAAACAAAATTAGAGGTGACTTTACGGTATTTAGCTACAGGTGATTCCTTAAAAAGTTTAGAATTTTTGTTCCGTGTTCCAAAAAACACAATAAGTAAATTTATTCCAGAAACCTGTGAAGCAATATACAATGAACTAGCAGAATTCATACAAGTAAGTACCTTAAAATTTTAAATTATTATAAATATTATTTAAATATTATTGTGCCCGTATTAGGTGTATAGATTACAAATAAAATAATCATAATAACGATAAAATTATTAGTAATAGTGAACTTTTATTTGTTTAATTATAACGATAATTATAATTATAAAATTTGTTTAATTATAAATCTGTAAATAATGTCATGTAGTCGTCATCATTACTAGCCGAAAAAGTACTTAAATTTGATTGTCTTCCACTTGATGTTCCAGCCGTTGAATTATCAGTAACATATTCTGGTGGGCACATAGCAATTGTAATTTGATTCATGAAGTTTTGTTGTAATCGTATTGCTGTTGGTAGTCCTATACTTCTTAACATTGATGCGATATATTTCCCAAAATGATCATAACTATCATCTATATTTGTAGCGACTTGTGATGCGCGATTTGAAATTTCATGTAATTTGTCAATTGCACTTGTCATAAATCCTATTTCATGATCATGAATAGATTTTTTATTTTTTGATGTTGATGGTTGTGGTTCAATCTTTCTTTTTATTATCTTCGCAGGTGTATCAATTTTTGATGCAATCTGTATCACGTCTTCAGAGTTTTGGCTAGTACTGTATTCAAAGTTAGGTTCTGATTGTAGACTATTTTCTATTGAGGCCTCTGAGGAATTTTCTATAGGAAGTATCTGTAATATAAATAATAATGTGTTAATATTATTAGTTTATTCATATTTTAATAATATAATGTTTCAGGTCCCTGCAACATCAGATGAGTGGAAAAACATTGAATATGGTTTTAGAACGCGATGGAATTTTCCTGGTTGTGTAGGGGCTCTAGATGGTAAGCATGTTGTCATACGAGCTCCTCCCGGAAGTGGTTCAGATTATTTTAATTATAAAAAAAGTTATAGTATTGTGTTAATGGCCTTGGTAGATTCCGATTATTGTTTTTTATATGTTGATGTTGGAGCGAAAGGGAGAAGATCAGATGCAGGAATTTTTCAAAATAGCTCTTTGTACAACGCTTTAGAAACAAACTCACTAGCCATACCAAACAATTTCGTTATTTTGGCTGATGATGCATTTCCGTTAAAAAATTATATAATGAAACCCTACAGTCGACGCAATTTAACCCCTGCAGAAAGGATTTACAATTATCGATTGTCAAGAGCAAGACGTGTAGTGGAAAACGCCTTTGGCATACTCGCGAGTAAATTTAGATTGTTTGAAAAACCAATTTCATTAAAATTAGAAACGTTAGACAAAGTTGTCCTCGCATGCTGTGCAATTCATAATTGGTTGAAAAAAACAAACCCTCGGTATGTGACGGGAGATCTGATTGATTATGAGGATGAGAACCACAGAGTTTTTCTTGGATCATGGCGTCAAAATAATAGTGGATTACAGAATCTACCAGCAACTAACCACAAACATTCTAATATGGAGGCACAACAAATACGGAATAAATATCGTGATTATTTTAATAACGAAGGAGCTGTTCCCTGGCAAAACCATATAACTGATGTGTCAAATGAACTGTAATAACTAATAATATAAATCTATTTTTGTTTACAATCGTGTGGATAATAAATATATTTACGTTAAAGATTTTTTTTTTATGATTTTTTATACAATACTCATAGAAGATAAGATAAGATAAGATATTATAGTTACTAAAAACAACGCATTATTCATACTAATTTAAATTTAAATTAATATTCGTATATCGTTTTTAAATTATTATATACCGAAATATATTTTTATAAAAAAAAAGTAATTACCAGATTCGATTGTGTGGGTCGCTGTTGAACAAACGGACGAATAAAACTGTTCATCTGATCAAACCAAAATACTTTTGGCTTGTATATGTCATCTGTACCTTTTCCAGACCTTGCACTGTCTGATATTTTTTTTAATTCCTGACTGAAAGAGCTTCTTAAATTTTTGAATTTTAATATAACTTCTTTTGGTCCAAATCCAGGAATATTTAATTCATGACTTATTCTCTTAGCTGCGGCGGCACGTAAATCTCTATCACGGTATTCCTCCAAACTTGGATCATATAACACCTTTTCCATAGAATATAACTCCAAAAAACGCGTAGTTTCAATGTCGTTAAACTTAGTTACACGATATTTTTGCTGTGACGACATCTTGGCTTCACGAACGGTATATCACGACTGAAAATCAAACACGTTTGATCTATCCACGCTTGAGTCGTGCGGCGTTCCTCACGAAAGTAAGTTTAACGACTATGCGTTCACACACGAGTGTATTTCACGAAAGCGTGGTTGTAATGCCTTTAATCGCATACCTTTTGGGGGGGATATCGTGATATGTGTATGTGATGATAAACTCGGTACGTCGTTGAGACGTATACGATTAAAAAATGTAAACGAATACGTCGGAAACGTTCTAAACGACAATAAATATGCGATTTACGGTTTCGTGACACGCGAATCGTAAAAATTGTACGGGTCAAACGACGTATAATGTAGCATTCGTCGCATCTCTAAAACGGTTTAAGTGTTCGAGATTCGGTTACGGTTTTCAACTCAAGCGGTAGTCGATAGGTGTTAGGATAGGTCCCCCGACGTTAGGTAGGCAGGTTCGAATCCTGTACCGGCGTATTCCTGGCGGCCCATAAGAAACTACACGTACGAGATTTTTTGCATTTTTTTTTTCATTTAATCGATCATTATTAATTGCTATTTTCGTTTTGATATGATATTACTACTCATATAATATTTTTCAAATTTTAAAAACGATTTTTGATCTCGCACATTACATTTTATACTGCTTGATTGATGATGACAAAATATATTATATTATAATATACATTACACGAACGTTAAATTACACAATAGTATTCAATTATTCATTTTTCTAAATAGATTAAAGATAGATTATTGAATTCAATTAAACCAATTATAGTTATTGCCAACGGTCTGCACGATTCAAATGTACATTTGTGATATGCAATTTATATTATAGCCTGAGAACATTCTATTGATGACGATACAGTTGTTTCACTCAGTTTTGACGGTGAATTCACTATTTTATATGTTTGGCCTTTCAGTTCCTTACATTTGAAAGATACAGGGGAAAAACAGTAGCAAATTTTTTATCTTTTGATTTTTAAATATTTTGTCATCACAGAAAGCGCATAATATTTCTTTTCGATATCTAACCATCTATAAAATATGAAAAAAAAAATATTAATTATGTATAGTTTTTTTGATTTTCAACTAGCTAACGTTCGACATGTGTTTTCCATAATACGTTTAACATCTCTCCTTTACGCCTACATCGTCCGCATCGTACCTGGGAGGTTCTAACGCGTTTAACTGGATTTTCAATGGTGATCGCTTGAAAAATCGAGCGCTCGATTCGACTTAAACTTTTTTGCGTACTAAACAGCACAACGGTTTCGACGTCAGGAGGTATGACAATCCGCCGCAGCCAGATTGCCCTGTCAGGTATCGATATTCGATGGGCGATGACTGATAACTAGACACTTAATAACCCTTTCGGAGTGTATTTATTTATTTTCCATACTCAAAAGCATCGGGCGAGCCACGGGAAATTCATCCAATCCGCCGAAATCGGATTGCCCTTTCAGCAGGTATCGACTTTCACCGTACGGGCGATGACTGATACCTAGACACTCGATTGCCGTTTTCGTAACAAGCTACGGGACGAGGTTCTCCGACGTTAGGTAGGCAGGTTCGAAACACGTTCCCGCGAAATCCGTTCTGTACGATAACTGACTAAGTATTCTGATTTTTTTTTAAATTTTTAAATTTTGTGTTAATTAATTGTAATTTCTGTTATCAAAAAAATTATTAAATATTTATAGTTTTTTGATCTTCGACTCACTATTTACCACAACTCGCTAACGTTTGACATGTATTTTCATTAATACGTTTAAAATTTCTACTTTGTGCTCACATCGTCCGCGATTCGACGCAGTCGGATCGCCTACCTGGGAGGTTCAAACGCGTTTAACTGGATTTTCAGTGGTGATCGCTTGACAAATCGAGCGCTCGATTCGACTTAAACTTTTTTGCGTACTAAACAGCACAACGCCTTCGACGTCAGGAGGTATGACAATCCGCCGCAGGCGGATTGCCCTGTCAGGAATCGATATTCACTGGACGATGACTGATAACTAGACACTTAATTACCTTTTCGGAATGTATTTATTTATTTTCCATGCACAAAAGCACAGGGCAAGCTACGGGACAAGGTGTATTACACCTGTGAATTTAATGAAATGACCGACCACTAGACGCTCGAATTAGACTTATTATTTACGCGTTTAAAACGACACCGCCAAAGTGTAGAGCCACCAAATAAGAGGTACCAACATCTCATTCGTCGTTATCACTGGTTTTACCTACTAGACTTTTCTAACTGCTGTATTCCTAAATCCTGTCTCCGACCTAGGAAATTCACTTCAAACGATATTCAGCTACCTAGGGTACTCACATACATCGAGTTTTACCAACCTAGGGTATTCACATACAGCGAGTTTCACCGACCTAGGGTTTTCACTTACAGCGAGTTTCACCGGTGCTAGTTAAAATATAAAAATAATCATGAAAAATATGTTTGTGTGTGTGTGGATCGGTGGCAGTGACCGTGAATTTATACGTTATTTATAAGTGTATTATATTTTATTGATATCGTTAACATATAATATATAGCTGGTATGTATATTTATGGAGACCAAACGTACTCTTTTTCGTAGGACAGTACTCTTTTTTAACGAGTGTCCTAGTGTCCTTAGAAATAGTGTCAAGTACATGATATTGTACTCTTTTTTTTTTAAATTATACACTATGAAACTATAAAAGTATGAAAGAAAAATTATAATTAATATTATCAATAAAGTTAATAGATACTCATTATAACCCGTCCAGACCATCGAGTTTATCTTTTGTCATCGGTGACTATTACAATTATTATCTATATCAGGGGTGGTCAGCGAGAAGAGACTCGCGAGTCACCAAATATATTAATAAATATGGAAGAGCCAAAATGTAAAAAAAAATAGGTCATATTACTTTATAATTTTTATATATATGTGATATTGTAAATAAGACAAGATAAGGTATCGTATTTAATAAAATATGAAGAATACGATAACAATAATTGTACAATAATCTCAAATTAAATTTTATCTTCATCACTACCATAAATATAAAAATATCATACAGACATAAACACACATGGATAATGGATATTATGTCTTCATAGTGCTTTTTGACGTCGTGCGTGTAAGTGTAACAACACAACATTAATAAAATAATTATTATGTCTAAGAAACGCAAGTATGAAGAAGAACACAGAGAATTCAAATTACAATGGGAAGAAGAGTTCTTTTTCATAGAACGAAACAGTAAACCATTTTGTCTCATCTGTCAATCCCAACTATCACAATTTAAGGTTAGTAACTTGAAACGTCATTATGAAACAAACCACAGTTCTTTTAGTAACGAATTTCCTACTGGTTCTGATTTGAGAAAAAAATAAGTTAAGCACAATGAAATCAAAATTAAATAAGCAAACCAATGTTATGGCGGTATTTTCCAAAGAAACCGATATAACTACTGAAGCGAGTTTTTGTATGGCGTTTAATACTGCTCGAGCAAAGCGCCCATACACAGATGGGGTATATTTAACAAAAAACATTATAGATGTTATTTCCATTTTAAAACCGGAAGATAAAAAATTACCAAATATGGTTGAAAATATTTCGAATAGTAGACATACTATGGAAAGACGTATTTCAATGATAAGTTCAGATATTTTCTCTAATTTACAAAATGAAATTGCTAATTGTTCTGCATTAAGTTTAGCGTTAGATGAATCTACTGACATTCAGGATAAACCACAGTTAGCTATTTTTATACGTTATGTGACGATGAATATGGAAGTGAAAGAAGAATTATTAGATCTTATAGCTCATAAAGAAACTACTAGAGGTTGTGCTATTAAGGATGCTCTTGACGTAGTACTCCGTAAAGCAGAAGTACAAATTGCAAAAATTGTTAGCGTCTCAACTGATGGTGCACCCAGTATGACAGGTTGTAAAAATGGATTGATAGGTATTTTAAAAAGTGATACTGATTTTCCAGACTTTATTCCAATTCACTGCATTATTCATAGAGCACACCTAACGGCTAAATATTTTAAATATGAACATGTGATGAGTGTTGTTCTTAAAATTGTAAATTACATACGTTCAGGTTCAAAGATACATCGCAAATTTAAAAACTTTGTTGAAAGTTTAGAGGATGATATTCCAAATGATGTTCCGTGGTATTGTTTAGTTCGATGGTTATCGGTAAATAACGTTTTAATAAAATTTTTCGATTTATTAGAACCTATTAAAACATTTTTAAAAGAAAAAAATAAAAAATTTCCACAACTTTCAGACCCACAATGGTTAAGAGATATGTCATTTTGTACTGACGTTGTGCATCACTTGACCACATTAAATATGTCTCTTCAAGGTAAAAATAAATTCATAAATAATCTAGTACAAGACATTTTTAGTTTCCAAAATAAGCTTAAACTTTTTCAAAGAGACTTAAGAATAAATAATTTAAACCATTTTCCGTACTTAATAAAAATTGAGGATTATTTGGTTGGAATAGCAATAAAATTAAATTGTGAAGATTATGTACAAAAATTAGAGTGTTTATCAACTCACTTTGAAGATCGATTTAAAGACTTGAAATTACTTAAACCTTTGATTGCATTTTTAGAAAATCCCTTTGTCATTAATGTTATTGAAAATGGATGTCCAATATTAAAATCGATTTCAATGAATACGGCAGCTTTAGAAATTGAATTCTTGGAATTATTAGAAGATGAAGGACTGAAGCAGTTCAAATACAGTTGTCATTCTTAGTTGGAATTTTGGAAACATGAGCATGTTATTAAATATCCAAAAATTACTCTTTGCGTTCAAAAGTTAATATCGATTTTTGGAACAACATATTCTTGCGAGTCCCTATACTCAACCATGAAAATGATTAAATCTAAACATCGATTAACATTAACGGATGATTATTTAACTGAATTGTTAAGGACTGCATTAACAACATATAGCCATGAATTTAAAAAGCTTACATGCAAAATAAACACGCAACAAATAATAAAATAGTCTATAAAGAAAAATTATATCAAGAACACTTTATTTTTACAAATTTTTTTCTATACACTGTAATTTAATAAAATATTATACTTTTTCAAATACATAAATTCATGTTTTCAAATTTTTTGTAAAAAGGCTATGATAAGATGCGAGCCGCAAAAGTCTATGACGCGAGCCGCGGTTTGGCCACCCCTGATCTATATTATAATAATGTAAAATAATACCAACTGTGTTGATAGTTTGTGACATCATCAGATATACTGAACGAATTATATATATTTATATATTAGGTATATTCTTTGTTTATATTATGTGTTTTCGAGTTCGCTATATTTAAATGCTCGTGAATTATCGCACAGGGGAAAAACTCATGTTCCGCTCGTCGACACAAGTTACAAATACAATATTATTGATGCAGTATTTTATAACCACTGAACCACGTTTTGCTTACGGTGTGTGACTCATTTTCCTAAATAATAACTGAATATAATCAAAGGTTCCTATGAATTTCTCCTTTGTAATAATCTTGAATATTATATTTTTAACAACTCCTAAAGCCTCATTCACACGATGACATTTTTTTCATGAAAGAAATTTCTACTGTATGAAATATCTTTCACAACCACTCTCACTAGAGACATAAATGTTGTGACAGTTGTTGTCGTGACACAAAAACATTTGTATAAAAACAGAAGTGTACGCCACTGTACTGACAGAAAATTCACGTTTATTCATACGATGCCTGAAGTTAATGTAAAGACAGTTGAGGCGTGTAGTTTCAAAACCAGCCAAAAGCAAATTTTTAGAAATCTGGTTTTTTCGCATTTTCTAAATAGTCATACTGTATTACAAGTGCTGTAAAAATATTGAACATCAAATAAGGCCATAACTGGTCTTAAATGACTATGGAAAATGTTGGTTGGTATCAAAGTCACCCATCTGGTGATATTCATTTCAAAACCAGCCATAATCAAAAACTTTTTTTTTTCGCGGCAAAATAAAATTGATAACATTATTAATTCTATAATAACAGTTGTATTTTGAATGCCATAGTACAATTTTTAAATCTGTTTATTATATTTTACTAGTTGTTATTTCTTATTAAAGTTGTTAATTGTTGTAAGTTGTTAATAGTTTAAACAATATCTTTTTAAACATGGATAAACATCCTGAAATTGAAGATATGACCAGAAAAAAAAAGATAAACCAGCAGTTATGGGAAGTAACTAGAAAAAAAAATGAAAGGTACTTTATTAACATTACTAGTTAACTAAATATTTTAATATAACTTATAACTTAATTTTTACTAATTAGGTATTCTAATCCTGGTGCCCCGGAGTATAAAAAATGTGACCATAAAATGAAAAGACATTCATTCAAATGCAATGAAATACAAAGGCTTGATCAAATAGAATTCCATAAAAACTTTTACAGTCATTCTAATAAAATATCACAAGATTCATTAATACTTAAGTACACAAGGGGAACAAAGTCAAAAGAAAAAAAATCTGGTGTATGCAATGAAATAAGAAATTTGGTAATCAAATATTATATACCAAAATTGGATTCAAAAGAACTAATTCCAGTTTGCCGTGATTTGTTTTTATCAACCCTTTTATTATCCAAAAACCGTGTTCAAGGTGTAGTACGCAGACATTATATTTTTGGAACTAGTCCAACTGAAAAAAGAGGTGGTGATAGAAAATCTAATCAGTTTATGGATAGAAAAAATGAAGTAATCGCTTTTATTAAAAAAAATCAATGTTATTGAAAGTCATTATTGTAGAAGTAAATCATCTAGTCGTGTTTATATTAGTAGTGAGTTAAATATTAAAAAATTGTGGCAAATTTATAATTCTGAAGCATTAACTGATTCATTAACAGTGAAAGAAAGTTACTTTCGCCATATTTTCTGTACAGAATTTAACATAGGATTTGGTACACCAAGTACAGATGCATGTTCTACATGCATAAGTTTAGCAGAAAAAATTAAACATTCAGATTGTATTACTAAAAAAAATGAATTAAAAACAGAACTGAAATTACACAAATTAAAAGCCAATGCATTTTATTCCAAATTAAAAGAAGATAAAAATGACTTGCTTATTGTTTCATTTGACTGTCAAAAAAATCAACCATTGCCTCGTGTTCCTGATCAAGCTGCATACTATTCACGCCAGTTATACAAGTATAATCTGACCATTATAATAGGTCATTCAAAATGTAAGTATACTAAAGATAATGTTTTCATTTATCACTGGGATGAAACAGAACATGCCAAAGGGTCTAACGAAATTGCATCTGCTGTTTATCATTGCCTATCAAATTTAGTTATTCCTACATCAATTAAAACAATACGGTTAGTTGCTGATGGTTGTGGAGTTCAAAACAAAAACTCAACAATGATGGGTATGATATCAACTTGGTTTTTGCATTTGGCCCCTGTTCATATAGAAGCTTTAGAAATGATTTTCCCAATTGTTGGCCATTCATTTCTACCAGCAGACAGGGTATTTGCTAATATTGAAAAAAAAATTAAAAAGAAAGATGTTATTACTAGTCCAGATGATTATACAAATTTATTTTCAAATTTTGGTACTACAGTACCTTTAGCTGGAATAGTGTATAATTGGAAGACATCTGTACAGTCAGTTTTTAAACTTCCTGGCAATTGGCATTTTAGTTTTAATCCAACAAAAAGATTTTTATTTAAAAAAAATGTACAAAAAACTAATGTTTTGATAAAAGGAGAAGTAAGCTATCAAATAGAAACTGGTGCATATAAAAATGTATGTAAGAAAGGAAAAACTATACAAAACATTGAATTACCTTTGAGTGAAATATCAACTGGAAGTATGAATATAAATCCATTAAAGTTGAGAGATGTGGATAATTAATTAAAAAAACATTATGGTGACGAATGGCAAGCATTAGATTTTCTTAGATTTTACAAAGATAATATCTTCAAACAACCTCAAGAACCAATATTAGCTGATGAAGAATATAATACTATGTGCTGTGATGAAAACATGTGTGAAACAGATCAAAACCTGACAATTATATAAGACTGCTAAATTAAGACTGGGAAAAATGAATAATGTGATATTATGATATAGTATTAAACTAAAAAACTGTTTTTATCTTTTATACAAATAATTTTTAATATTGTCTAAGGTATGACTAAATATTATTAAGTACTTTTA